AAAGAAAATTGTCTATTTCAATTTATTTTGAAAATGAATGTCGTAGCTCTTTTGTATCAAAAGACAAAAAGCAAACTCTATCTCCACTGACAATAAACAAAACGTGCTTAAAATAATGAAGTTCATAGCTGCTTGAGTTTTGCTATAAAATCTAGAGGAACTAATTCATGATGGTTTGGTTCTAAAAATAGTCTTTATTTTTATGCATTTTTATTATCATTACCCCCGTCATTATCTAATGTATGTAGATAATATAAACAGAGTAGGTGCTTAATAAATATGGTATTTTTAACATGTTTATATTATATGTATATATATTTATATGTGTATATGTATGTTATGGTTTTATGAAGCCCATTAAACATTATTTCATTTACTCTTTCCAACAATCCTGTGAGATGCATACTATAATAATCCCTACTTTACAGATGAGGACACTGAGGTGCACATAGTCTAAATGACTTGCTTATCATCCCATTCCATAATGATTAGAAGTGGGATTTGATCTAGTCTAGTGTTATTTTCCACTATATTCAGTTACCTCGTTTGTGTTAACAGGACACACCTTATTTCTGTTTACATGTATGCCCCAATGTTCCATTGGGATGCTTCATACATGTATGTCCAATATTCTATTTTGAAAAGAAAAGCTCATTTTGAACATTTTTTCTTTGTCTTCACTATAGCAGTTAGTCCAAATTTGAGCTGTTTTATTTTCCTGTGCTCAAATGAGGGTGAAACAGAATACAACTATTTCATTAATTTGTATTATTTTTCCTTTTTAAAAAGAAATCCTTAAGTTTGGCCACTGGAATTATTTCTTGGAATCGTCCTCCATTTCCATTTGGCAGGGTGCAGGAGAACCCACTGGTAAAATTAAAAAAAACAAGATATGAAAATAAGACAATTCTAATGGGTGGTGTGTTCCAGCTGTTAAGACTACAGCCACATCGTTTAAGGAGGACTTCTTCAAAGTTGTAAAGCAAATACTTCATTATGATTTTCCCCAAGCAGAAATTGGAATCAAGTCCGATAAAAAAAATAAAAAAAAAAACTTTTAAAGCCAGTGGATGCCCCGGTATTATTAAAATTTAAAAAGAGAAGAAGAAAATAACAAAGACACTCCAGAGGAGAAGTGCCAAATTGTAGAGGCTGAATGGCCCCCTGAACAATAGTGAGCTGCACAGCTATTATTCAAGCAGGTGGCATGTTATTATTCTTACAGATTGATACCTCCACTTATTATCCCCTTGACTGCACACAAAACACAGTAATTTGAATCTAATAATGCCTGTAAAAACTTCCATTAATAACTAAAATTATTATTAAAACATTAAACTACATTATCTGTGGCCTGTGGTAATGGATTTTTCATAATTGATAAACTGAGTTATCATTCCCAGGTACACCAGTACACTTGCCTCTGGTCATTGAGAAAAATAAAGATTTAACGTCTTAATTGTGAGGGTTGGAAATTGATTTGTTGGGAAGCATCTGACTTCCCTGGCTCAAGGAATGGTAAGCCTCCAGAGAAAATGAGAGTCAATAAAAAGAGGCAGATTTGGGGCCTTATCATTTAAAGGCAATAAAGGTCTAATATTTCGTAGGAAAATGAGGGATCATACACGGGGAGCAGTTTATGCAAACTATTATGAGTAGTTCTGTTTGGTTGAATAGCTAGGTGGCACGGTGGATAGAGTCCCGGGCTTGGAAGCAGGAAGACTAATGTTCCTAAATTCAAATGTGGCTTCAGATATTTACTAGGTGTGTGGCCCTGGATAAGTCATTTAACCCTATTGCCTCAGTTTCCTGATCTGTAAAATGAGCTGGAGAAGGAAATGATAATTCCAGTACCTTTGCCAAGAAAGCCCCAAATGGGGTCACAAAGAGTTAGATGTGGCTGAAATGACTGAACAACAACAAGTTTGTCTAAAAGGAACTTTTCTAGTAAGCCCTAAATCCTCATCTGCATTAGGTTCATAGGCCCAGAATTTGATAGCACTGCCTCAGAGGCCATCTGGTTCCAATTCTTCATTTTATAGATGAGGAAACTGAGGTGTAGGCACCAAAGAGGCTGAGTGGCATTATGAGCAGGATTTGAAGCCAGGATCTCTGACTGTAGTCAGTACTCTTTTCCTTAGGACAATGAACTGGCAATCTAATCTATGTATTGTGAATGAAACAAGGTACTAGGTTTGCAGAACCCGTATCCTACCTGCGCTGAGCTTCCTACATGCCCATGTGGTTTGGGTCATCAGTCCACCTCTCTGGCCTTGTTTCCTCATTGTATAGATAGAGGAGGCTGAAGTGCCTAATGCCCAAAGTCCAATGTACTTGTGAAACTATAGTTCTATGCTCTAATGTGATGCAGAATGACAGTGTACAAAGAGTAGCACATTTGGCATCAAAAGACCTGGGTTTAACTCTTTCTTCTTCTACTTTGTGAATGTAGACAAGTCATTTCCCTTTGTAATCATTCCATTTTCTCTCTACTACATATACAACCAGGAGGATTTGGGGTCTAAGTCTAAAATCCTATGTGAGGATATTCTCTTTATATATGGCCTTAACCCAGTACATCAGAACACCTCTGTACATTTCCATGAGAAAAATTAAAATACATCAAGAAAATCTTCATGAAGCTCGTTTGATCACTGTTCCACAAGGACTTCCAGAAGACCAGGACTATTTTGTTTTTCCTCTTTGGATATCAGCATTTGGCATACATAGGAGGTGTGATAGTATAGCACAGCTAATACAAAAGGTGTTTGTTATTGTTTTAATTGACTGAGTATTCAATGATTTTCATAGACTGTGAATGCTCAGAAAAGAAAGAAGTGGCAATCTGGTTTCCTATTTGACTATTTCTTCACATTTGGTAAAAAGTATTTGCTTCAAGAAGTTAGGTCAGAGGTTCTCAAACTTTTCTTGATAAGGGACCACCTTTATCTTTTCTCCACATTTTACACTTTACTAAATTCAGACAGAATTTATCAGCATTGTTGACATCCTAAGAGAACTTTTGTAAAATCAATACTCACTTGGTATTTGAGAAAAGCCAAAAGTCCCAGATGAAAACAAACAAGTATACAAATTAATGAAGAAATATCAAATAAATGGATAGATAAGTAAGCAAATGAATGAATGAATAAAAAGACAGATACATAAACCAATAAATAGATAGATGAATAGATGGATGAGTGGATAGAAAAGCAAATAAATAAATAAATGAGAAATATTTAAATGATTGAGTAGATAGATAAATAGATAGCTAGATAGATGCATCACAAATTTCTTCACACATGATTTATTGTATTCTGTAGTTCTAGTTGCCATATTTTAGGAAGGATTTTGTTAAGCTGGAGACTGTCAAGAGGACAGTGAGCAGGATGGTGAAGAGCCTTGAATCAATGTCATATGAGCATAAGGTGAAGGAACTCAGAGTATTTTGCTTCAACAAGAGAAGATGTAGGTAGAGAATAACAGCTGTCTTCAAGTGTATAAAGGGGTGTCCTCTGAAAGAGTAATTACCCTTGTTTTGCTTGGCTCCAGAGGGCAAGACTGGGAATGTAGGATAGAAGTGGAGAGAAGCACATTTTATTTCACTAAGAAGAGAAATGTTTTTAGCAATTAGCACTATTCAAAATGATGGACTTCCTGAAGAGGCAGCAGATTCCCCTCCCGAGAGGTCATTAGGCAAAGGACAGATGGCCATTTGCCAAATACATTGTAAAAGTCATATTTTTCTTACTCTCAGGAATGAGTTGGACTCTGAAATCCCTTCAGCTCTAAGATTATGTGATTAAATAATATTTCACATCATGCACACTAACCATATGCATACAATAAATGTCTTACAATTCCTTTGGAATTTAAACTTTTTAAAAAATTATTTGATGGAGTTTTCTCAATGGCATAGATATTTATATGCTCAATTCCTAGCATTTATATAGCAGTTTAAAGTTTGCAAGGTATTTTACAAGTATCATTTCATTTTCTCTTCGAAACAACCTGGAGAGGTAGGTGCTATAATTATTCCCATTTCATGGAAGAGGCAAGTGTTAAGTGATTTGCTGGGGGTCAACATAGCTAGTAATCACCTGAGGCTGGATTTGAGCAAAATGGCCAGTTTACACATTGACAATTAAAGTGACTTTTGGCTGGATATTCATCCTGCCCTGGAAACCAACCCATTGATGAAAAAATAGTTAAAAAAAAAACCTTATGGGTAGGCATCATTTGAAGATTTACAAGTGAACAGTAAGTATTTAATAAATGTGCTGTTGAATCCAATCACAAAGACAAAGAAGTGAGTTCTGAACCTCAGACAATTACTAGAATAATTGTGTTTCCAAATTAAATATGTTTTTTTCAATTGAAATGTATATCAAAAGTAATTCCAAGAGAAAGTTATGATAATAAATGTAATCTGCCATAGTTCTAAAAAGCTTTCATGTCCATGAATATCTTTCAACATGAGAGAAATCATTAGGAATAAATCAAGTAAGTTTCTAAATAGACAAATGCTTTTAGCTTCCTAGAGAAAAATACAATAAAAACAAAGATGGCAAATATGATATATAAATCACAGAGACCAGTACAGTATGAAGTCACATACATTTTACATCGCACATAATTAGACTCTTGTGGTTGGAATGTTATTCGTCATCATCTAAAAAGTAATTTGTTCAGGATGGTAAAAGACAGGATGTATGATACCTGTTATAGCCCTCATTATATTTACATAAGGAATTTATACTCAAATATTTTCATTAGGCATAAATAGTTTGGCAAATGCTTTTGTTCATATGACATATATTATTTTAATGGAATATGACACAATTAAGATTCTTTGAGTCCACATTGTTTTCTTTCCCCAAAGTTATTGACTTGGCTCCCCAAATGATGTTTTTAAGGTAGATGTAAATTCCCACCTCCCCAGAGAATCTATTACTAAACGCATTGCAAGCAAAAGGAAATGAGACCAGAATGGAAATTACCTTAATCACCAAATCAAATTTCTGGTAGAAATCCCTGTTTACAGGCTGCAGGAGGCTGAGCTCTGCAGTCCTTAGATGCATTTGGAAATACTGGGGATAATCTTCAGGAGTCCCTGCAGAAAGACATTGAGGGGTGGACATGTAATTGATCAACATCAGGATATGAGCATCAGATTTATCTTTTGACTTTACTCATTCGCTCCCTGAAGAGTAAAACCAAGGTGGCCTTAGTAAATCAAACGGAGAAAAACAAGGCTTCCTAAGGAAAATGGAGTGATGTGCAGCTCACAACCTTAGGCGCAAAAGACAAGAGGAAAATGTTTTTGTTTGTTAGTGTTTTTGTTCTTCTTCTCTGGACTTGAAAACAAGAATTTGATATATATTCTCACATGAATCTGAAGATTCAAGTCCTGGAGAGTGACGTTCACCATGAGAACAAAGTGTTAAGAGGGCATATGCGCCTCGTTGAACTCTAATAGAATGATGGTGTATGGTAAAGTGAGAAATATGCTGGCTGTAGAGTTGGATGACCTGGGTTCAAACCCTCATTGTAATACTTTTTTATATGAATACTTATCTATATGAACTTCAGGGTCAGTGAAGATTTCTGAACCTCAGTTTCCTCATCTATAAAATGAGGGGTAGTTTAAATGGCTTATGAGGTCTATTGCAGGTGTAGAGTTATGCACCTATGCCTAATTTTCACTTAGCTCATCTCCGCTATTCTAACCTACATTGTACTTTGGTACAGATAAAGTCTTATCTACCTGTCATCTATCTATCATCTACCTATCTTCCACCTAACTCCCTCTGTTTATCCCCTACATATCTCAATCTTTCTCTACTCCTACTGTCTCTATCTTCTATTTATCCCTATCTCTTTAACTCCTATCTATTTCTTTCTCCTATCTATCTATCTATCTATCTATCTATCTATCTATCTATCTATCTATCTATCACCATAGGATCATAGATCCAGATCTGGAAGGGACCTCTTCTGCCACTGAATCCAGTCCCCTCATTGTACACCTGAGGAAACCAAGGCCTCAGGAGCTTAAGTGGCTTGTCTAAAGAGGATTAAGTAATAAGTAGGTTTCAGAGACAGGATCTGAACCCAGGTTCTCTGACTCTTTACTAGATAAATATCCAATTAGAATGCTACTTAAAGACTTCTTATTTACCATGAAAGACAACAAGATATTGTATAATAGTAGATAAAGGATCTGTCCTTGTCAGGACAAAGTAGGGTCAAGTTCTATCTCTGCCATCTTTTAGCATTGTGAACCTGGGAAAGTCCTTGAAGCTCTCAGTGTTCCCAGGAAGGACAACATAGTTCAAAAAATTTACTCATGTTCACCAACTGTTAGAGTTTTAATTCACAAATGTGATCAGAGATTTTAATGTCACCACTACTACTTCTTCTACTACTACTACTACTACTACTACTACTACTGCTACTGCTACTACTACTACCACCACCACTACTACTATTACTACTACTACACACACACACACATACACACAACACAATACACACAAACACACATTCATACCAAAATGAGACCATAAAGGAGGATTATAAGGGATGATATAAACTAATTAGATTCAGTGTGGTATATTGGCTAGAAAGCTGGTCTCAGAATGGCTTTCAGGAAGCACAGTACCTGTCATATAACAAGTGTTTAAGAAATCCATTATGTAATTCTCTCTCTCTCTCTCTCTCTCTCTCTCTCTCTCTCTCTCTCTGTGTGTGTGTGTGTGTGTGTGTGTGTGTGTGTGTGTGTGTGTGTCTCCTTGTGAGAGGATGCAGACTGTGTGATCTTGGTCAAGTCACAACCTTTCTGAACCCTCAGTAATTCTCTAAGATTATGTTACAGCAAAGGTGCTGACCAACACTGGTAATGGAAGTGATATCAAATGAAATCAAAGGATGAATCTCTCTATCTATTTCTTACATCTTACATAAATAGAACCCAAATCTCATTTTATAAAATGAGTCAAAATGCCTGAATTTAGGACAACTCCAGACTGGTGACAGCCTTTCCTGCTACCCTGCCTGCCAGAATACCCATATTTCTTCTGGACACTCAGGTGAAGGCCACTTTGGACTTCCCTTCCTTGAGAACTAAATTGGCAAGATGCCACAAATCAGAAATTGCTTTTGCTCCACCAAAAAAAAAAAAAAAAAAGATCTTTCTTCCTGAAGTCATTAACAGCATTTGACTAAGACAGATTGTGTCTTCTTGCATGTCCACCATGTCCCAAGGCAGAGAATACTCATAAATTAACCTGTTTCCCAGGTAACCAGGAGCCAGGGTTTTCCAGCATTGTGGAGTGAAGTCAGTTCATAATTAAATATTTCAGGAGTGGGGTTTTAGACTCCTCCTGAAGGAGGAGAATAATTTGCTGCCTTTATCTGTTTGAATCACTTTCCTCAGGAAGTTCATTAGCTGTGCATTTCTAATGTATTAACTTGTAAAAGACACATGATTAATGCCAGACGTAAACAGCTTATTTTGATCTTATATAGATCAATAGACATCCCCACTAGACACTCAGTTTCTGTAGGATTAGAAGTACTTGTTAACAATTTACAAATAAAAAATGTTCAATGCTCTTTTTTTTCCTCTATTCTAGGACAATTGTGCAAATTGAGAACCAATATTTACGAAGAGCCTGTCAGGAGACAGAGACAGAGTCATAGGACAGAGTAAACATGGTGGCACAGGAGTCAGAAAGAACTGAGTTTAATTCTGTTTCAGACATTGACTATTCATGTGACACTGGAAAAGTTTTTGCACCTCTCTCAGCCTCTATTTCCTTATCTGCAAAATGGGTATAATAATAATATATTTCATAGAACTGTGAATATGAAAAGAGATAATATGTAATACACCTTAGAAACCTTATACTTTTACATATTTGCATATGTAAATTTTTATTTACATATTCACATTTACATAGTGCTCTATTTAAATGCTATTATCATAATAAAATTGATATTCTCTGATGCTAATATTCAATTCTAAGCAATAATTATTTAAGGAAAAATTATGGTGTGTGTTCAGAGGTGGGGATAAAAAGGATGGAAATGAAACCATCTTTGGCTTACTCCATTCTGCCCTAAAAACACACCCAAGTGTTTCCAGTGTAGATAATAAGCTCCTCAGGGACAGAACTAGCATCTTTATGTGCCCTTGGGCCCCTCATCACCCACACAAGGACTTGAATTATTTGGACAATAATAGATATATGCTATGTAATCTACTTATCACTGCTTCTCCTTACTCTATCAACAATGTCAAGGAAACTTCCATAGTGTAAAAAAATATATTGACACAAACTCTATTTTGCATTAATTCTAATTACTTAATTCTGAAATGTTTGTGTTGCCAAAATATGAATATGGCTTCTACAACTGAGATTCCCATGAATTTTTAAAGAAGATTTTTGTAAAATATGAGATAATTATTTGCTTCACAGAAATCAACATTCAGTGCCTACCATGGAAGAGACCCTTTGCACACAGTCATAAAGCTCATGAAAATATTTTTCATTTTATTTTTCATTATTTTATTATATTTTTTTTACTCTTTTTTCTGTTACTACATAGCTGTAAAGCTTTTTGTTTATTTGAAAAGGTTAGATTACTAGTAGAGTATGACTGAAAAAATGTATCACGGTGGTGTTTATAAGACTGCTTCACACAATCAATATTTGATAAGCAGAGGCTAGGAGGAATAAGGGGAGGAATCCATACTGGAAAGATGGATAGGACTTGGTAACTGGATGGATGGATGGTTGGATGGATGGATAATATGACTTAATTCTACTTAAAATTAGCATACATTGCTATAAACTTGTTACCTAGAGTCACAAAGGAGGAATTCTTGTTCTTATTTTATCCATGTCTATCAAAATTTTTTCCATAGCTATACTCTCTTAAATAACACCTCATGACACACACATGTTGTACAAATGGTTCAATTTTCTTGCTTGCAATTTCTGAACAAGAGTAATTCACATAGATGTATAAGTTAGAACTCTGGTATGGAAGAGATCTTCCTGAAGAAAACAGAATCCTGCTCCACATTCCTAGGGAACATAGACTTCCCTCTCCATTGCTCCTGTCATGGGCCTATATCCAAGTGTGACTCTTGCCTTAGACACAGAGATCCCAGAGACTCTAGGAGGCATGAGGATCCATCACACTTAGATGAGGAAAGTGATTGAATGAATCAAGACCCTTTGAAGTCTGGCATTGTACAAATGGTGGGAGGGGAGGTGTGTGATAGGAAGGGACATGTATTTTATTTTAGGATATGGATTCACTGGTGAGAATCCAGAAGAGGACGAGATAGTAGGGTCCTTGATTCATGCCTTCTAAAAAAAATAGATTGAAGTAATTGAGAATATTTAACCTGGAGAAGCAATTAATATGGCTGAGAATTGCCTTTGAGTACTGCTGAGGGGCTGCCTTATTGAAAAGGAGGAATATCTCTTCTTCTGTAGGGCTAGAGAAAGCACAACTAGAAACAACAGAAAGCTATTGAAAATGGACCACGATAAGCTTGATGTAAGGACACTCCTCCTACCAATTTGTGTTATTACATAGACAAATCAATTGCTTCAGATGAGAGTGGGATCCCCGTTCCCTGGAGGGTCTCCTGGTTGTCTGGCTCCTGGTCAGGTTTGTTATAAACAAGATTGTTCACGTATGAAGTGGTCTTCATGGCCTCTTCCAACTCTGTGATCTATGCCCAGTTCTCATGAGTATATATTTTATAGTACGTTATTGTTAGTTTTTGTCTGGGTAGAATGGCTCCCATTGCACAATATTTTTAGCAAGAGTGCTAAATTCGAGTGCAGATTTGCCATCACCCTCTCACCTTTTATCAATTGCAACCAATGACTAACAAACATTTGGAGAAGTGCATTCAATCACTAGGGAACATTGATGGATTGCCCATTATATTGCCGGGGACAGCACTCAATGTTACAAACAGGATGAAAAATACACTTGGATTTAATGTACTCCTTAGAACACTAAAGAAAGGCAGATGAAAAGGCTTTTAAGGAAAATACATCTAAAGCTAAAGGACATTTTAGTGGC